AGAGTGTGTGTGTGTGTGAGAGAGAGAGAGTATAGTGTAGTGGGGTCACCTGTAGTGCAACATGAACCCAAGGTCTGAGTTGAGGCCATTCTCATGGGTACCAAACTTGGCTATCAGCCTCTGCTCGGCAACTCTTCGTTGTTGTATATCCCAAAGTCCACCTTGGAGGATGTTTACCCGAAGATCTGAGGCTGAATGCTCTTGACCGCTGAAGTGTTCCACAACTGGGAGGGAACATCCCTGTCTGGCGATTGTTGTGTGGTGTCTATTCATCCCGTTGTTGTAGCGTCTGCATGGTTTCACCAATATACCATGCTCTGGCAACTCTTGCCTGGAGGCATTTGAGATAAACAATGTTGGCCGAGTCACAAGTATCTAGCTGTGCACGAGGTGGGTGATGCTCCCACGTGTGATGGTGGTATCCATGTCAATGATCTGGCATGTCTTGCAGAGGTTGCCATGACAGGGTTGTATACTGTTGTGGTCGATGTTGTTCTGAAGGCTGGGTAGTTTGCTGCGACCAATGGTCTGTTTAAAATTTGGCGGTTGTTTGAAGGTGAAAGCTGGAGGCCTGGAGAAGATCTTGACGAGGTGCTTATTGTCATCGATAATGAGTTGAAGGCTGCAAAGAACATGGCATAGTTTCTCCACTCCTGGGAAGTACTGGACGACGAAGGGTGACCTATCAGTCATATCCCGTGTCTGTCTTTTGAGGAGTCATTACGGTTTTTCACTGTGGCACATTGGAACTGGCGATCAATGAGTTGAGCATCATATCCCGTTCCTATGAGGGTGTCCTTCCACACCTCAGGTGTCCGTCGCATTCCTCCTCAGCTGAACAGATCCTGTGCATGCATAGGGCTTGTCTGTAGGAGATGGCTGTTTTAATATGTTTAGGGTGGAAGCTAGAGAAGTGCAACGTAGTGAGGTTATCCATTAGCTGCGGTAGAGTGATGTACTGAGGTGTCTGTCCCTGATGGAGATGCGTGTACCCAAGAATGAGATTGATTCTAAAGAGTAGTCCATGGCAAGTCTGATGGTGGGATGAAACTTGTTGATATCACTATGTAGTTGTTTCAGTTATTCCTGGCTTTGAGTCCAAAGGAAGAATATGTTGTCAATGTATCTGGTGTATAGCGTTGGTCGCAGGTTCTATGCAGCAAAGAAATCTTGTTCAAACCTGTGCATGAAAATGTTGACATATTGAGGTGCAAATCTGGTCCCCACGGCCATTCTGTGTGTCTGGATGAAGAACTAATTGCCAAAGGTGAAGACGTTGTGATTGAGGATGAAGCAGATGATTTGTAGGATGGCATCTGGAAATTGCCAGTTGGTGGTACTGAGTACTGAGTACTGTTGCAGCGATTCAGTCGTCATGGGGGATGCCTGTGTAAAGTGCCGAAACGTCCCTTGTGACGAGGGATGTTCCTGGTTTGACTGGTCTGTGGGTGCTGAGCTGAAATCTGTAGCGTCACAACAGAAGCTGAGGGTTCCCTGTACAATGGGTTTCAATATGCACTCGACATAGCTAGAGGGGTTCTCACACAGGGTCCCCTTACCTGATACGATGGGACGTCCAAGTGTGTTGGCTTTGTGTATCTCTTGGAAGGCAGCAGAAACCTCTGCAAACCATGTCAGATCTTCAACATGGACACTACTATCACACGTGGGAACACCACCCACCATGTACACGGCAGATACTCATGTGACTTGGCCAATGTTGTCCATCTCATATGCTACAGACAAGGATGCCCCAAGGCATGGTATATTGCAAAATCATGCAGATGCTTCAAAAACGGATGAATGGACACAGTGAAATAATCGCCAAGCAGGGATGTTCCCTCCCAGTGAGGCAACACTTGATCAGTGAGGGCATTCGGCTCTCTCCCCCGCGCACACATCCACTCACTCTCTCTCCCTCACAGGCCCACAAAAAAAAGTGATGCTTTCATATTTAAGGTAACGTTGCATTAATATTACTATATTAAATATTTCTGACCAGTGCCATTTACTTCTAAAATAACTCTCTCTCATTTAGCCATTTGTAAGAATTCTGTGCCAATAATGTGTTGAAGGCTGCAAAGAACGTGGCATAGTTTCTCCGGTTCTGGAAAGTACTAGACGATGAAGGGTGCCCTTATCGGCCATATCCCATGCCTGTCTTCTGAAGAGGTCATTGTGGTTTTTTGCTGTGGCACGTTGGAACTGGCGATGAGTTGAGCATCATAGCCCATTCCTATGAGGACGCCCTTCAACACCTTTAGGTGTCTGTCACGTTCCTCCTCATCTGAATAGCTCCTGTGTATCCATCGTGCTTGTCCGTAGGAGATGGCTGTTTTAATGCTTTTAGGATGGAAGCTAGAGAACTGCAACATAGTGAGGTTATCCATTGGCTTGTGGTAGAGTGAGGTACTGAGGTCTCTGTCCCTGATGGAAATGCGTGTGTCCAAGAATAAGATTGATTCTAAAGAGTAGTCCATAATAAGTCTGATGGTGGGATGAAACATGTTGATTTCACTATGTAGTTGCTTCGGTGATTCCTGGCCATGAGTCCAAAGAAAGAAAATGTTGTCAATTTATCTGGCGTATAGCATTGGTCGGAGGTTCTATGCAGCAAAGAAGTCTTGTTTGAACCTGTGCATGAAAATGTTGGCATATTGGGTTGTAAATCTGGTCCCCATGGCTGTTCTGTGTGTCTGGATGACGAGCGCGTGCACACACGCACGCACACACACACAAGAAACACATTAAAACAGCCATCTCCTACATAAATCTATAGGGTGAATTTGTATTGCAGATACATTCTATTTTGTTCAAAAAAGCACACAATTTATAGACAGTCAATCAATGTGGCATTTTACTAATTCCTACTTTAGGAGTAAAACCAGTCCGACTCCAAACCAAAACACATACAGATTCTAAACAAGGCCTCATACCTAACATGCATTGTCTGACCTAAAATGTCACCTTTTCTTTACACAGTTAAAACCTTTAGTTCTCTCAGGGCAGTGACTTGAAAGAAATTCAGGGACTTACCTATACATATTAATCAATTAAAACCTTTTAACTGATTAAAGGTTTAACAGCATCTAAGGTTTGTTTAATACATCCTCATTAGTTGTGAGAGCCTTTGATCTTTTACTTATAAATTCTGTGTTCTGTGTGCTTCTATCTCACTTCACCGGATGAAGGAGCTATGCACCAGAAGCTTGTGTTTTCAAATAAATCTGTTGGACTATAACCTGGTGTCATGGGATTTCTGACTCTGGAACAGTTCCTACAGATTGGAGGGTAAATAATGCAATATCTCTGTTTAAGAAGAGAGGTAGAGAGAAAACCAGAAACTAATGACCAGTCAACCTGATTTCAGAAATGGGGAAAATGGGAAAAATGGGGAATTTTGAGCATTTATAACAGGACTAGACAGTGTAGATGCAGGAAGGATTTTCTCGATGGCAGGGAGTCCAGAACGAGGGGTCATAGTCTAAGGACATGGATAAACCATTTACAGATGAGGACAAACTTCTTCGTTCAAACAGTTGTCAGCCTGTAGAATTTTGTACCACAGAAAACAGTCAATGCCAAAACACTATGATTTCAAGGCTGAGTTGGATGGAGGACGAGTTAAAGGGATCAAAGGATACAGGGAAAAGTGGGAACAAGTTATTCATTTGCGCGATCAGCCATGGCCATATTGAATGGCAGAGCAGTTTTGAGAGGTCGAAAGGTCTACTATGGGTCATATTTTCTATGAAAACCATTTATTATGTCCTTTTTTTAACTTGAAGGTCATGAGTCAACTATGCAGATTACGATACCCTTAGATTATAATCAGTGCTGCAAAAACACTTGCCTAATATAAACAGAAACTGCATAGTAATTAAGAAGTTGCATGTTTGAACACAACTCTTATTTTGTTTGTAAAATATTACCAATTAATAAAGCTGACCAATCATCATTTCAAATAGCTTTTCTGTAAGGTTCTGAACAGATGTAGCCCTGTGAACCTGACATATTTGGAAACTTTCAATAACAGTAGCTTTTAAAACTAGAGTTGAAATTAATTTTAATTACATTCAGAATTTCAACCAGTTTCTGAAGTGTTAAGTGAAAGAATTAAGGCTTTTATGATGTAGAGTGTTATGAAAAGTTAGTGAGAAAATAGCTGAGGATAGGAGTATAACATCAAAAATTTTGCTTAAATTTGTAATTTATACCAGGGGATTGAAAAGTTGCCTTTATTCAAAAAGGGTTAAACTTATCATAGGCCAATGAGCTGAATGTTGATGATAGTTAAGGGTCATCACATGGAACAAATTTTTACTCAAATGAAAATCCTAAAAGGTAATTAAGGAAAGCTAGTATAGTGTTACAGAAGGTAAGTCAATGTTAGCCAAGTTTTTTTTTGTTACTTGAAAAAATAAGAGTGCACTGATAAAAAAAAACGGAAGGGTCTAGGCCCAAAACATCAGCCTTCCTGCTCCTCTGAAGCTGCTTGGCCTGCTGTGTTCATCCAGCTCTACATCTGGTTATCTAACTTTCAAGAATAATGGTTTTTAACAAGGTCCTGTATCGGAGGTTTGCTAATAAAAATCGATATATAATAGCATGTGCTAGCATGGATAGGAAATTAGTTAGAAGGGCAGAGTATTGACCCCTGGATGCTTTCTCACCAATGAGGGTTGAAAAGAGTGATGTCACCGAGAGTTGGAACAATTGGCTATAAAGATTGCATAAAGATCACCAAAATGGAAATTATAGTTAGTATGATTTGGATTGCAATTGACTAAAAAGAAAAGAAAGAAAACAGGTTAATTCATAGATTAGGCATAAAGTGGTAAGATTAGATTCAATGACTGAGGGCATAAATTTCAGATAGCCAAAAATGAAAGAAGAGGTTCAGAGGAGGCTGTTCTTTTTTGAAAATACAGAATTGATATGACATGTGATGCCTCAACCGAAAAAGAATTGCAATCTCTAAGAAAGGTGAAGTGAATAACAGAAGTGAGTAAGTATTTGGAGAAGAAAAATTAAAGGAATGAAGAGTAGGGAAAGTGAACTTTCAAGGCATCATGGCAACGCCAAAAAGACCTTTGGCATGCTAGAAAAGGTTATTATTCTTGAATCATGCCTTCAGTCACCTTTCCTAACTCTCAATTCCTACTTTGAGTTGAACTTCTGACTGCTTCTGAGAAATGCCTTATTGTATAATACTGTGTTAAAGGCACCATATTTATTGAAGATGTTTTTGCTCTTTGGAGCAGGCTGGGCAGATTCAGAAAAATTTAGATATATGCCACCAGGAATAGCCATTTAAGTTTATACCTCTGCTGGGAGAAAACACTTGAAGAACTCATGTGGTTAGAGATACTGCTGACAAAGTTTGGAGTGCTACCGCTGTGAAGGCTCTAATATAAGTGAAACATAATGTATCCTTTATAAAAGTCACAACTCTGATGATAACTCTGGTGAAGGACAGGATCAAAATGATGGGTTTTGTTAAAAACTGAAAGAACTGTGGATGCTGTAAATCAGGAACAAAAACAGAAGTTGCTGGAAAAGCTCAGCAGGTCTGGCAGCACCTGGAAAGAAAAAATCAAAAGTTAATGTTTCGGGTCCGGTGATCCTTCCTCACTAGGAAAACATTGGTTTATATGCAGAAGATAGGGAGGGGAAAGTGGTAGGGAGTAAACGATAGGTGGGGGTAGAGCCCAAAGAGACAGAAGAGCAGTTACATTGACAAAGGAGTTGATAACGATCTGGCTAGGAGGGTGAATAGCTATGGGGTCTGTTAGTGGCCAGCAATAGGTGGTGTGTAAATGACAGACTATGGGATAACAAGGCCTGGTGTATGGGGTGAGGGACTAGTACATGGGAGAGTTTAGTCCCTAAAATTATTGAACTAAATGTGGAGTCCGGAGGGCTACAAGGACCCCAATCAGAAAATGAGGTATTGTTCTTCCAGCTTGCGCTGAGCTTTATTGGAACTCTGCAGCAAGCCTGAGACAGTGATGTTGGCTAGGGAACAGGGTGGTGTCTTAAAGTGGCAGGCAACTGGATGCTCAAGGTCTTTATCGTGAGCAGAATGCAGATGCTCTGTGAAGCAGTCACCCAGTCTACGCTTCATTTCCCCAGTGTAGAGGAGACCACATTGTGAGCAGTGAATACAGTACACTAGTGTTGCTTCACCTGGAAGATATGTTTGGACTCTTGAAAACTGGGGAGGGAGGAGGTAAATGGGCAGGTGTTACACCTTCACCAGTTGAAGGATAGGTGCTGTGGGGTTGTTGGGGGGTGGGGGGGGTGGTGTTGGGCTTTGTTATTTTTGTTGTTTATTAAATACTAAATAAATTGCAGCATTAATTCTTCCAATTTGTTTACTAGAAGTAATTTAAAATTGATATCAGCATTGGTGCTAGCTTATGATGCTCCAAGCCAATTATTTTAAATTTAAAAACAATTGAGGAATTGATATATGTAGGATTACTAGCTAATCTTAAACTGCAACTATAAATGAATCAGTTTGTACTAGCAAAGAATGAATCTTAATTCAAACACTTTGTTTGTTTGGAGACTAGGAACATGACATTGCTATCTAAGAAGAGAAAAATCTTTAACAACTCACTCATGTCCTCCCTCCTTTGCATTACAAAAACCTCTTCACGTGCCTTTCACATTCTCATAAATCAACATGTTTGATATAGTTGCTGATGTTACAAATAATCTATAGCAATCAATTCAGCGAATGGGTGCTGTTCCACACAAAAAAGCATTTTGAAAGGCTTTTGTTATCTTGTAGACTTTGGTTTCAAATAGGGTTTTCAGTAAGGTTAATGGAAGAAAGGTAATAAGAAAAGCTCATATTTAAATAAGACATTAAGTAGATGTTAAATAACGTGTGAAATTCCACAAGGAGAAAAAGTATGAGATGTTATATTTTCTAACAATAAAATGAAGAGTGAAAATCTACTAAAATCTGATGTCTTTCACAATTATAAAAGATTCTATGGAAAACAGAGGAGACACTTAACACATAGGAATCCTTCAAAATTAATGTGCAACCTCTAAGAAAAATATCAATTAATGTAAATAGTTTGGTAGAAGTTAGGGAGCAATTAACAAATTTGAATCAAATTGAGGAAAAGAAACTGAAGCATGAACATGTAACTATATGCAATGGCACAATGCAATCTCAGAACATTTTGGTTCTATTTTCATTAAAAAAAAACACAGTAATGCATTTTGATAGCAGACAACATCATTTAATTATTGTCCATCTGCCTACAGTAAATATTAGCAAGTTATCCTAAGCTATTGTCCATTCCTGTCACTCCTTCCTTGTCTTCCTTGAAATTGAGATCATATTATCAGGCATTTAACAGTGACATCAAGTGATGTGCCTCTTATTATGGGGATCTGGCATACATTGTATAACAAGAAATTCACAAATCATATCTGAATGTAAATGATATTTGGTTGGTGAAGGAACTGTGGAAGATAAATTCTTATTCTACAAATCTGTCACAATGTGATCAACCCTAACCCTAAATCTTTTTTCCCCGACTCACCAATACCAAGTTTATAAAATACTCACAGAGCATTTCAGTAACAGTGAAACTCCTGACAAACGCAGTACAAAATTCAATGACCCAAGCTGCTTTCCTTTAACCATTTCAAAGAAACAAGGAAACTGCATGCAAGCTTTGGTCACAAATTTAACTCTAGCTTTATGAGGTATCTACTCAATAAATAGCTGTTCTGTCTACTCACTGACCACAACAATGATTGTACTTGGTTCTCATGGGACCCGTCACTTCTCCATTAGATTATTGTTCAGATTGCAGTGTGTGTGTTTGGAAGATAGATTACCACTTTACTTTGCACAGTTAACTAAAACAGGCTTAAACATTTTTGTGATGAACTTTAATAAAGATTCTTCTCTTTGGACAGACACACCAACCCCCTTAATTCACTTCAGTTCATTCATTCTGGCAATTAATTTATTATTTTCAGAACACAGTGCAAGCCTTGTTTTCAGGCCATTCATAACTTTATAAATCTGCCTTGCACGTGAATATGTGCATCTGTGGACCGTAATAAATTTTGCCACTCAAGCGACTAAGTAGGCTGACACCTTTCTGATTAATAACTGTTGAAAGAATAAGATCAGAAGCAAAATAAATGATCATTTAATAGAGAAAGTAACAAAACAGCCCTTTAACTTACATATTCCATCATGTTATTGGTTTCACATTTCCTTTTGCTCAGTCTCCAGTGCAAGCACAGCTGGAAAAGAAATGGAGAAAAGAAAGAAAAATGACTTCCATTTTATTCCTACATCCAGACAAACCCATTTATCCATCTTTCATATTTTTCTACCAACAAAAGCATCTGTTTCCATACTGTGCAATTCAGACCCCAATGGTCTGAACCCCATGCTAAAGTTGCTCCCTGCGGCACTCACCTTGTGGTATAACCTATTGTTTTCCCATTCTAATAACTTCTCGATCGATCTTCGTGTCTGGAAGACAAATGAGGTAGAATTTTACTCTTGACTGGCTTCTGAAAAACTTTGCAGTGCAGCTGCTTGTATGAATGGAAGAGGCAGAGAGGTGTGGGGACAGTGACTGAATACAGGGTGGTCCTATACCACAGGCTCTGTGTTCTGCCAAAGCACCTTTAGTGTTAAATAGTAACTAAAATGGTGCTCATTTCTCTTGTATACCCCCAGTCCCCGTGCCCAAACCAACAAAGGAGAAATTTATTACCATTATGAAGTAATTAATTTTAATATCACTTTAGTTACTAAGTTAATTCCAAAAATACTGCATGTAACAAAATGTTAGGTGCAGATGTATACAAACAAATAGCAAGATTTATATTGGAAGCATTGTCAAATTCTACATAGTCAGAATATTTAAAAGCATTTGTATATACATATTTGACACAGTATTTCTCAAATGGTGAATCGAAGGGTCTGCTCAACATTAAATTAGTTTTATACATCCTTGAAAAAATCTGTTTCATTGAGGTTTATTGTTTAAAAAAAACTATTATTAGTATCTAATGATTTAGTTTCTAGATCCAGCTAATTGTAAATTGTAAAGAACAATCAGTAATTACTGTAGATTTAATCCAAATGCAGAAAGTTGAGAGCCACATCCATTTTTGAAGTCTGGCACTGCAAATTGTTTACTTGTGTGATATAATTATTTTCCTAAATACAGAGAAATGAAATCATCAGCTGGTGAAATATGTTTTACTATTTGTTTATAGTCTTCTGAAAACACACCCTTTATTTCATGTTGCTTCGTCAGATTTAATTGTGCAAAATGAAAAGAATAGTTTACTGTTCAACTTCTTTAGGGATGCCTATGACTGGAAGCTAGTTCGTGTTTTGTTTGAATCAGAGATTGAACGTGTAACACTGGCAATATTGAGTTTAATGGAGCAAGAGACACAAAGGAATCCCTACTGATTACGCCTTTCATATCACTAACATATATCTATATATCAACGGGAATTGGACTCAGATAGCAGAGAAAAAAAATGTTCTTTTTAAAAAGGAAGGGGGGGGTGCGGGTAAATAAGTGATGAAGCCAGGTGTCAAAATAAGCCTGTATAGCTGCAGGTGCAGAAAAGCCATTAAACATTGCCCCGCAGTTCAACTGCATCACTGATGCAGCTGCTGCTCACAACCCAAAGTACATCACTGTTTAAAAGGATGTCAGAGAACAAAGCAAAAACAGGTATGAGGTACATATTTGTTCTTTTTTGTTCTAACAATTCAAACTTCATAGGTTAGTTAAGTAAAGTTGCAACTTCTCAAAATAAATAACCAGGTAACAGCTATCCCCATGGAAATTTGCAAGGAATAATTTCCTCCTAAAGTCTGAGATTTTAGACAACCCAGTGAAATTGTATTAGTATGGTAACCATTCCTGTTAATTTAGTGAGGCAAGGGTCAAACCTGTAGCAACTTCACCGGAAATTAAAAACTTTGCAAATTTAATGCTAAAATGTGTGAGAAAATTCATTCTTCAAAATGTGAAGTTACATTGTTGAAATAAAATTCCAAAACCTAAAACTGCTACTGATGTTATAAGCCACTTGTTTTAAAGAATGTTACTGCTTGATATCACAACTGGAACATGAAAAATATACAATATACTGATGAAAGTTTTCCATAAACAATGCAAAACACATTGTGCATGTTACAATCAAACAATACATTTAAGTAAACAAGTGAAGCTCCAAAATATCAGTACTTTCAACCTTTAAAAAAAAAACTGAATTACTCAGAACTGTAGAAAATAAAAATCTTGAGACTATAGAAATAAACTGCACCTTAAAAAATTTATCTCCAGTTTAACTTCAATTTGAAGTAAAAAAAACCTAATACAATAAAATCCCTTTTTGAGATTATAGTGTAACTACATTCTCAAGTTATGGTGAGTTTTACTTGGTAAGTCAATAGCATTTTAAGAATTAGAACAGCAGTTTCCTTAAGTGAAAATACCCTTGGGAGAGGTTTAATTTCATAGTTAATGGTTACATCAGTCATCCAGATGTAGTACACTTTCTAGCTGCTAATAATATCCTGAACTACTCATATTTATTACTTGTTACTTGTCAGATACATAACCATAATATAGAAGTAACAGGGTTGAAGTTTTATATTTGGTGAAAAACATTTGTTAGATATATTTTCAAATCTAAAAAAACTTTGTGAAAGCTGCCCAGTGTCATTTGTGAAAAAAACATATGAACCCTCCTTTGCATGTAAGCAACACAGTGGTTTATAGTCCCACCTCTTAATTTCATTTGCTAGTCAGTTTGAAATAAAAAGAAAATAAGTTTGCCGAGTGTAATTAACATTCAGTTCAGTCATTTTGGCCCTTGTCTAGCCCCAAAGCTTTGTTAAAATTTGCCATTCTGAAGGCTTGAGGGAAATCGATTTGATTCTAATGGTACCATGAAAAGAACATGATCTAACTGCTTTCAGCCCTCCGTAAATCTGTACTTGGTCTTTATCACAATGCTACCCCAATTTAAAAAGCACTGAATGTCTCGTCAATGACTTTGTGAAACAGACAAGCAGCGGACATAAAAATTCCAATAGTTGTTTAAGCAGCAAAGTTCATTTGCATCACAGCGAATTTGAAAAGGCCTGACCTCTCAAACCGCCTCTCAGGTCTATGAAGTTGTAGCCTTGACAAGCTTGCATTGACAGAGCTCATTGACTCTGAAAGGCTACTTTATCAATGGAAAAAGACGGACTACGTTCTTCTACTTCAAACTGGCATCTGCCTGCCCACCCGCTGCTAATCCGAAGGTGACACTAATACAAAACTATGGATTTTACTCCCCAATATCCCTTTAGCACTGACATGAAGCACAGGATATGCTTCATTTTTGATTCCCCCCCCCCCCCAATGGTGGCTGGCTGCATTCTACAGTGGTTGTACTTCTTAACAAAAGCAATAGAACTGCTGGGTGTAATCACATTATAGACTAGAACAAAAACTCTGAACACAAGCTGGAAAACTGCTCACCCTCAATACCAGAAGCTGTAGAAATTTCAATGTCAGACTCTCAAAGGAAATTTTACAAATTTCCTAATATTCTACTTCTAGCAAACACAACTGCACTTATTCCAAAAATTTTAAAATTCAATCAGGAAGAAACTGCCAAAAATGTGATGCCTTTTCGTAATCAGCAAATCTGAATATAGTGATGCATTTCTGTACTTTCAAACAATGAAATATTCCTTAAATGCATACACATCACACAATCTTAGTTTTATTTGTAATTTCCTGCTTTATCCATCCTTTCTAAAAGCATTAATTCATTTACAGGAAATACTTCTACAAATATTGGGTAGCCCTCTGGTACTTTTCCAAGTTGTCAGCAGAGTCCAACCTTATTCTACCAGACCACAACACATCTACAAGTTTAAAAGGGGTCATTGAATAGTGAGTGGGTACTAAGGGTTACTTTTAGGTTGGTCTAGTTGAAATCAGAAACCACCCCCTCCCCCAGAGAGGATAACTGGCACTTTGCTTTATGTAGTTGTGTACATTCAGTGAGGTAACAAGGAAGTTCACTTCACCCCATTTAAATACTTTAGCAGTCTCTGAAGTACATCATTAACTCAGACATGGATGTTTGCCGAGTACAAAGGAATTTCACCAACAGCAAATTATTTTCCAAGTACTTCCGATATTTGATAAAGATGGAAAATAAAAAGTTGCAAGCTAACAGCTCATGGTGTTGGGAGATGAAATATTAGCATGGACAGAGGATTAGTTGTATACCATAATGAGGGCTGGTGTAAGGCTCAGTGCTGGGACATCAACTAGTTTCAATCTTTTTCTTTATATTTATTCATGGAATGTGGGCATTATTGGCTGGGCTAGCATTTATTGCCCATCCATGGTTGCCCTTCATGATGGTAGTGGGCTGCCTTCTTCAGCAGCTACAGTCTGTTTGGTGTAGGTAGACCTACAATGCTGTAAGGAAGACAGTTCCAAGATTTTGATTCAGTGACACTTAAGGAACAGTGATACAGTTCCAAAGTCATAACGGTGTTTGGGTTGGAGGGGAACTTGCAGGTGATGGTGTTGTATTTGTTGCCCTAACCTTTTAGATGGCAGTGGTTATGGGTTTGGAGGTACTGTCCAAGGAGCGTCAGTGAATTTCTGTAGGCATCTTGAACATGATGAACCTAGCTGCTGCTGCAGGAGAGGGAGTGAATGTTTGTGAATGTAGTGTCAAGATTCTCCTGAGTATTATTAGAGCTGCACTCATCCAGTCAAGCAAAGAGTGTTCCATCTAACTCTTGACTTGTGTCTTGTGGACGGTAGACAGGCTTTGGAGAATGAGTAGTGGTGATTAGGACATGGTAGTTAGCAGGCAGCTTCCTTACCCATATTTCACCTGATGCCAGAAGATTTTATAGGATCTAGAGTCAATATTAAGATCTGTCAGGCCAACTCCCTCCCGAATGTATACTATTGTACCATCACTTCCGCTGGTACGTCCTAACCTACTGGCTGAACAAGGATGATGTTCCTGTCAGGGACATGGTCATATTCATGAAATCATGTCTTAAAGCCAATGTCAGGCTTTGGCTGAACTAGTCTATGAGACAGCTCTCCCAACTTTAGCACTAGCGGCCAGACATTGACAAGGTGGTCTTTGCAGGGCTAACTTAGATGTCGCTGTTGATACCAGTATCTGTCTGGTTTCATCCAACTGATTTTTTGGGCGTTGATACAACTGAATGGCTTGATAGCAATTAAAGAGTCAACCACATTGCTCTGTTTTTGCCACATGTAGGCCAGATCAAGCAAGTGTGGCAGTTTTTCTTCCGAGGGCTTTTACAACAAATATGACAATGGTTCCATAGCCAACATTAGACTTTTAATACAGATTTTTATTAAATTTAAATTTCACCATCTGCCATAGCGGAATTCCAAGCAGGGTGTTCAGAACATTTTCTGGATCTCTGGATTACTA